TGCTGAACTCTAATTAACTTTTTGTTAAAAAAAAGTCCCCTCCTTTTCTTCTTCAGGGTGAAAACCAAGAGCATTCACATTATGAGCTAATAAATCTTCAAAGTATGTTTGTACAGTTTGCTAAACATACTTTTGTCAGCCAACCAAAAGGATTGTTCTAAATCTTGATTCTGTACTAGGAAAGAATAGAAAAAGCCACAGGCTCAAGGAAATTTTAGGTGTGAAATTGAGTATAAACAAACTAAATGAAGCAAAGCAGAGAAACAGGCCTTTAGGATTCCTTCTTCTGGCATTGGAACTTAAAAAAAAAGTCATTGTTCATTTCTAGTTTCTTTGGGTGTGTTAGGCATGTCAGGAGAATGATGTTATCAATATCTACCTTTTTGGAAAACAGTGTATTAACGCTAGTAGCTTAGGGGCTTGTCCTGTAACCCAGAATTAGTTTTTGGCACTTGACTGGGTCTGAAGGAACACTACCAAAAATGCCTTTGTAGTATTTATTATGCAAGAAAGAATTAATAGAAACTGTTACCATTTAAAAAGTGCAGGAGATTCTCCCAAACGTGTGTGCTAATGTATGCAGAGCTGTGTACAGTTCTGCTCAGGATTGTTGCCTCTTCCTCTGTCCACTCCACTCCAAACAGGGATTGAAGAATTGACTAATGTGGTTTTTTTCTAGTTTATAAACCCCCCTGTTACTTGACCAATGTAAGGCTATCAGAAATCTCTGTATTTTTCAATGTAGTTTAAGCAATTAGAACCTCAGAAGCAAATACAACATTGCCCAGTACAAAGGGTCACACTGAGGAAGACACAGGAGTACTGCCACACACTGGGGATTCTACACCTACCCCCTACTCCTCCTAGACTTCTAGACAGTCACACAGACTCCCAGGCAGCCCCAGTGCCCACGTGTAGGGGAGTGGTGTTCTCATGCACACAGACATCCTCGTGTTTCCATTATGAGTTAGTTCTCAGTCAGTTCAGTCTGGTGAGAAGTGCACAGTAGATTCTGTTGAATTGCTTGGATTAATGTGCTGGAGGCATCATTGTTTCCAAATGCCTGTTATCACTGACACCACAGAAAACTTCTGTATCTGTTGTCTCAGCTGGAAATGTAATTCTTAGGTGGGGGGGGGAAGAGTGTGGGGAAAGTTACATTTTATACTCCCCTTCTGTCCCCTGGAAACCCACGGGCTTATACTGCGTTCATGCGGATGTCTCCAAAAGGAATTTCTGTAGCTGTTTCTGGAGTAATGCTTTTCAGAATACGCTGTTGGAAAGAAATCAGTATTAGATATGGATTCATTTCAGAGGTAATATATAACATGACAGCCATTTGGAAAGAGATCTCTAATAAAAATATGACTGTGGCTTGAGTTACACCTCTGCAACCACACACGTTTCAGGCTTCTGTTAGCACTATAAAGACATGAGGTGCCACAGAAGTGCAGAGGGTTATTTTTAAATTATTTGTAACATATAATAAGAATCAAAGATTGGCAGAAGTTGTATTAATGCCTTAGGACTTTGCAGCTTACTTGGATACCTTGAGCCAACTGAACACATTCTCAGCTGGTATGTACGTGAACTTTCAAGAAATCCCAAAGATGTCATCACAGACTGTTTATGGCAGAGAAGTCTTACCACATGTGGGAGAGAAGAAGAAACTTGTTCTTAAAGATATACCCAAGGAAACCAAACTTTCACTGTGTCATTCCCATGACACTGTGTCTTGTGTAATTTCTAGGAAAAGCCTCTGGTTTCCCCGAGCTTAAAATACTTGGATATTTTATATGAATGTCAGTAACTTCAGTAGGATTGGGGGAAATCTGTGAATCAGCTGGCTGGGAACAGAACAATCCTCAAACCCCAGGGCATCAAACCCTAGAAAAATCTACATGTAATCTTTCTAGGAATCACCTCATACAGTCACATAGAAGCAACAGAGCATGGTGGTTACCTCCTTAAGTGTTCCTGGAGTGACGATCAACCGATAAACCATGTAGATGGGAATACAGATGATGGAAGAGGTTCCTATGCAGTAACCCAAGACTGTGGTCCAGTAGGGGTAATTATAATCAAAAAGCCGTAGCTCAGGAGGGTTGGACAGGAAGCTGCAAGTGACAAACTGAGAAAGAAAACAGCAACATACAAATCTGTATTTCAGTGGCACTCACTTCATGTAGGTAACTGACCCAGCAGAGCCTTGCACTTAAAAAAAAAGGACTCAAGAAGAATTGCTTAAAAAACCCTAAATTTAATAACTATGGATTTTAATTTAAAAGAACAACAACAACAACAAAAACCAGCCAACCCCCAAAAGCACTTTTGGATATCCAGACTTACCTTCAGGAAGTTTTAAAAAGAGCTCAGGAGCTCCAGAAGATAGACCAACCAGTAAAGGAACTAGATAAAAGTTCTCCTGTGGTTTGCTTATTCCATAAACACACAGTGGTGGTTCTTGCTTAATAAGCATTAGAGAGCAAATTCAGGACCACACTTGTACATTTAAAAGATAAAAAAAAGATGGTAGATGAACACAATCTGATTGATTGATACCAGTGAGCAGAATTTCATCCTGTTACCCTTGTGTTGAGTCTTATAACTTGATTGCAGCTAAAGCATCCCTTCCAGAAAGGCATCATCTTAATTTCAAGCCACCAGAAATGAAAAGTGTACAGTTTCCCTTAGCCACTTTCCCCCTATTTAATCATGATCAGTGTCAATTCTGCTTTGTCTGAATTGAACTCATAGCCAGTCTGCTGTTGGTTTATGTTGTTCTTTATTGAGTTGCAGACCCTTTTAATACTCTTTCAAATACTCTTAAAAGTATTTACCTGTGGTAATCACTTCAGCTTTGTCTGTGATAAGCTACACAGGCTCTATTTTGTCACCATTACTTGTTTGCTACAAATTTTATCTTCTCTGTGCTATTTTTTCCATAGCATTTCAGTTCTTAAGTAGCTTTTAGAAATGTTAACACTAGTGTGGATGTAATATTCTGTCATCACCTCAACTAGAATGCTGCTAGATCTTTTTCCTGTGCATATCCCTCCTGACTGAAAAATTTCTTGTGAAATAAGATATTTTTAGTTGAGTACTATAAGGATAGTAATTGTGACTATCCTTGGAAGGATCTCTGACTCTGTTGTGTCCAGAGGATCATCAGAAGATCAAGATTTCCGTCACCATTTCCATACAGAAATCCCATCCTACCTTCTGGGCTTTCCTTAGGTTAGTTTAGTTTCCACTGAGAACACAAATAGCTCTAACCTAGTGACCTCATCACCAGAGCTACATTACTCTCTGGTTTACTGTCTTAGGATCACAAAGAAAACAATAGTATAAAAATCATCTGTGGTGTCACACTTCTATTTATAGCCTTTTCTTCCCTTCTTTTTCTAGGGGTAAGAAAATGATAATCTGTTAATTGTGCATTGAAAATTACAAGTGTTTTGGATTTACTCTATAGTTTTGAATTCACTCTTAAATCTACATTCTGTGCTTTATGAACTTCATCTTGACTTGCTTGGCTCCCACTGAGGCTAGTAGCAATAAAAGAACTTATCTTGGATCAGGAAATGAACACTTTCTGGGAAGATGTTATAAAAAATACTGCCAAGTCAAACACTGGGACAGTATTTCCAATTCTGAATTATAGATTTATAAAGATTGCAATTAACTGCTGTAAATGTTAAGTGGAATATTCTAAAGCTGTCAGTCAGCAGTTGCTGAGAGAATATATTTACTTGGTTTCCCCCCCCAGACAGCATGGTTTGTCAGCTTTTATTGCTTCATTTTCCTGAGGTTAATGTAAAACACAACAAAGTAACTTTGTTCAGCAGAAGGAAGGAGAGGAGTTCTTCAGAACTCAGTCTTCCTTATCTAGCTTATCTACAGAATTTCTTAAAATAGAGATTTTTAGTAACAGGACCTTGCAGCATTGTATTACATTTCTCACTAATTGAGCCTTTTTGGCTTAACAAGAATTGTTACTAAAGAACTTGTAAAGACAAGGCTATCATTGAGCTTTTAGAAATTTAAGTAGCTGTAGCTTTTTTTGTGCTGGAAAGAAAAAAGCTATAAAGGAAACTCACCAGAAGGAAGATGGGACTAATTGCTACCCAGCACACTCGCCAGTACCAACCTGGGGCAAAGCCAAGCATTTCTTTCACATCATTGCAAAACTGGGTGATGCCTGGAGAGAGAAGTGGGAGGACAGTGGTGACACCAGGTACACATTTTTCATGAGTAGAAGTGCAGCATTTTGTATGTGCAGCAAATACACTCAGAATCTGTACTGAAAGACATGTTCCTGTAACTCTTTAATTCTGTTAAATCCTTAATTATTCTGCATTCTATCTCTGGTTACCTTTAGATGTCATTGTCAGAGAAAAATTAATCATTCTCACAGATTTTGTAATCATTGAGTTTGTAAACAGGTTTGGTAAACTTCTTCCTGGAGACATCAGTGATCTTGTCTGCAGCAGCAGAGGAAAGACTGAGCTGCAGGAGCTTAGGAGGCTGGGTCAGCCTGGTTTGGCAGCAGACATACCATAGAACCAGGCCACAGCAACTGCTTCCAGAAACACCACTGTCAGGACAGCTGGACCCGTGGCATATTCTTCAAACAGCTTTACCACATAAGCTCCTCCCTAGAAAGGAGATCATATCATCAGTGAGGCACAGATCCAGTGAGGGAATTCCTGTCAGACTGTTGTTTATTTTTGCCTTCATCTGGATCAGATTAGTCACAGATGGGCAATTCAGTCAGTTCTGTTGCTTTGTGGCAGTTCCTGCCAGTGAAATCCTTAAGCATGTGGCTGATCTGATCTCTCTAGTGCCACGCAGAAAAGCTAAAACTGAATCTGCTGGCAGTTTAAGCTGGATTTTAAGGAATAAAAGAGATTTGGTGGGGCTTGATGGGGTGGTTTTTTACATGCCTTTTTGTGATGTCATCTTCTTTCTCCAACCTGAGTAATAGTTACTGAACAGGAAACTAATAGTGAGTTATTCTGATTTCCTTCCCTTTGTGATCTAGAATCAGATGAAGGAGGAAAGCATTGTGTCTTGGAGAGGAACTAAGTCCCCTTTTACAGCAAATCCTCTAAATGAGAAGGAAGTTGCACATAAGTGAAGCACATGGAGTGAAATGTGACAGGAAAGCCAAGTATTTTTTCCTTGTCTCTTACGATCATTACCCTCATCATTCAAAATGTTGCTTGTTAGAAAATTTAACTCCACAGGGTCTGTTTGGTGTGAGTGATCATGATTTCTGGCCTGATTGGATGAGGAGCACCCAGGAAATGCATTGCTGGAAGTTTTAGGAGAACAGGTTGTCTGCAGCTGATCCAGCAGTTGGAGCAGCAGCTGTGTCATGTGTGCACATCAGAGTTCTACTGAATTGCAGTAGTATCATTTTGCAGCACATTTCCTGGTGAATATTCATTCCAAAGATAGTTTTCCAACACATAAAGAAAACAGGCTGGAAATTTAATGTGATTTCTTGAAACACTCTTAAAAAAAAAAATACTACCCTCTCCAAGATGTCATTTGCAGGAAACTGCCAGTAAAGAGAGCAGAGGAGTGGATGAAATACTTACAAATGTCAGGGTTGCCAGTGACCCCAAAAAGCAAATGATGATCAGACCAAGCACAAACAATTCTCTGCGTTTGCTCCACACATGTGGGAATTCATCCAGTACTCCAGTAATCACTCCTTCTAGTCCTGCAAACTGAAAAGCATGGAAAAGTCACTGGAAAATAGAGGGCAGTTTTACCTGCTTTATGGGTTGTTTCAGTGCTTAAAGGAGCTTCACATCATTGACTGGTGCTTTATCCTGCCAGTAGAGCTGGTGTGATGGCTGTTTAGACAGTCTTTCTTCAGAACTTTGACACTTTTTAAGGTGGGGAGTTAGTCTTCCCATATCTGTAGGAAGTGCCTGGAATCCACAGGAAGAACTGAATTCTAAGTATTAGGATGCTGGTAAGTGGCTCCCTAGAACTAAGATTGTGAAATCAGCTGAGTTTAGCCGTCCTGGAAGGAGCTGACTTTCCAACCAGACAATTCTTCAGGACATCTCATTCCCACAGTGCTGTTGAGGAGGCCCAGCTCCAGGTCCCACCTTTTAAATCCAATTAGTTTGATAAAATTCCAGATTCTAATAATTGCTTTTTAAGTTTACAAGACCTGGAAGGCTGCATTCAACCAGGTGTTCATGAATCAGGTGCTTTGGTTGTGTTTCCAGGTGTTACTAATTGTCATAGTATAACACTGATAAATGAAGTAATTTTATTTGGGCCTATTTAGGTCAAAATGGGAGTAATGGTTGCTGTCTCACAGAAGGCACATGGAGATGCCAAGCCTACTTTAAACCCTTTAGTGACAGTGCAGTGTTTGTTATTTTCCTTTTGGTGTTTTTGCAGGGGTAAGGCCATACCCCAAATACCCCAGGGGGCTGCTGGTACACACTGACTACTCACTGTGCTGTCCAGTCCCAGTGTGAGTAACATCAGGAAAAAGATGATGGCAAAGAAGGTAGAAGCAGGCATGTTTGCAATGGCCTCAGCATACGTGATGAAGAGAAGGCTGGGTCCTGACAGCAGAAGAGAGAATGAGGGCTAATGTTAGTGCATGCCAGGCTGTGTCACTGTACCACAGTCTCACAGAATTATTGAGGCTGGAAAAGACCTCTGAGATCATCAAGTCCAGCCTATAACCTGACACCACCACATCAGCCAGACCATGGCACTAAGTGCCACATCCAGTCTTTCCTTAAATGCCTCCAGGGCTGGTGACTCCACCACTTCCCTGGGCAGTCCATTCCAATGTCTGATCACCCTCTCCCTGAGGAAGTGCTTCCTGATATCCAATCTAAACCTCCCCTGGAGCAGCTTCAGGCCAGGCCCTCTCATCCTGTCACCAGTTGCCTGAGTGCAGGGCCTGACCCCCATCTGACCACAACCTCCCTTCAGGCAGTCTTCCAGGGGTAAATTCTGCCCCCAGGTTATTTTGCAGTTACCACCATGTCTGTGAAGTTGCATGCAATATGACTTCCATATGCTGGTTTTCTGGAGTAAGTTTTTTGCTTTACTGCATATTTATAACAGTGCTCTTATCATAAAGTCATTATTCTGAATGATACACTAAATAATTTGCATCATTTGCACTGTTCTCAGAGGATAAGATACAAATACCTTCTGTCTGAGAAGCAGTTGGATAAATGTGCACAAAAAGTTGGCCTACCAGTGTCCTTGGCAACCTCTGAAACATCTTCATTCCTCATCTCAGCCATGTATCCCAGCACAGTGAAAATGACAAATCCAGACACAAAACTGGTCAAACAGTTCACGGTGCTGGTAACCAGAGCATCCCTGCAACAGAAGACCTAACTCACATCAGGGAACTGGCATTGCTGGAAGTGGGAGTTCAGTACCAGATGGAGTGAGTTTCCCATCTGAATAGACTAGAAAAACTGAGGGAATGCAATGAAAAGAGCAAGTATCCAAACTGGAGGAAAAAAAATCAGCAACCCACAACTGCCTTTTCTTCTTCAACTTCAAACAGGTGCTGTCACATTAGTATGACACCAGATTGAATGCTGTTTATATACTGGTGTTTTCAAAAAATAGGAATTACTGTAGGAACAGTAAAGAATTGAGACATTATTTTACAAGTTACAAATAGATTTTTTTTCAAGGTAACAAGGAAACAGCTATAAATCACCTTTCAGATCAAGACCTCTGAGTCATTTCCTAACTGACTGCTGAGATTAAATAATTGTAATGTGATCATTTGGCAGGGGTTTGGTCTATTTTGTTGTGGCAGGTTTCTACATCTTAGATTTCTTGCTGTAATTGGTAATTATCTTTCTTCAGGGTAGGCATCACAGAGAATAAATGTTTTAAAGTACAGGTTCTTTCAATAAGGACTTTTGTTCTGTTATGCTGCTGATTTATATGTGCACAGGTCTGACAATTCAGTGCTTTTCATCAGCACTGTGTTCCTTTTTCATAAATAGCTACAGTTCCTTTTTTTAACTCATTTTTACATACAGAATAAGATAGAACTCACTGGTAGCAGTTGTTGTGGAATTTGTTGTAGCTGGCATAAGCCAATAGGACTCCAAAACCTGGCCCAAGGGAGAAAAAAATCTGTGCTGCTGCATCCACCCAAACCTGAAAAATATTGAACATCAAGAAAAAATAACATGAAACAGATCAAATAAGTTTGGCATATTCAAAATACCACATAGCCCTACAAAACCATGTTTCACTAGTCTGCCTATATTCTAGTCCTGGTCTAATAAAAACATGTTGTTAAGAGAGCATGTTGAAATATGAGTATTTATTGTAGATCTGAGAGAGCTGTAAATATCCACAATAATTATAGTGCCTATGCTGTGCTTATTGTGTCTCCTTACACTGTTGCAAGTCCTTACTGGCACTTTCCTTCTGACAGCATCTTAGATTAATCCACAGTGATGTGCCTGTATTCAGTGTAACAAAACTTCAGTCATGAAGAGTGTTCTATCCATGATTTTGCAGTGGGTTTGGCTCATCTTCCTCCAAACCACGTGTGCTGTGAAACATCCCTACATGTGGCTGCGTGTCCTCCAGGCTAAGCAGCAGATGATTGCTGCTCAGATTTTTCCTAGACTTAAAGGAAATCCATTTGACAGTGTGGATGCAGTTCTAGTCCTTAGGACTCAATTCAGCTTTGTTGTAGCCATGACAGATGCAAGTGTGATCATCTTGTTATGAAAAGCCTGTTGTACTTGAAAAGTGGCCGCAGCCTTAATGAGCAGTGTTCCTAAAGTACAATATCACTTCTCTTTCTGAAGGTGAAAGTCCTCATTCATTTATCCTCTTTTGATTGAAACATGGGGTTTGTTACAACTCATTTCTAATATTCTCTCCCATGGGGTGAGGCCATCCTGTATCAGGCACAGACAGAGCTCTGTCATCCTCCAGCACAGATTGCAATCTGCTGTCCTCACTTCAGATACATCCAATACAATATCAATGTGCTTTATTGCTTTTGCAGAAGATGTGATCCCTTATTGGAGATGCTGCTTTATCAGAGACTGGTGTCTTTTCATTTCCTCTTAATTCAAAGTTCTCCATATCAGCTGGGCAGCAACAGACTTGCAAACATTAGAATTTTTAATCTTTGTGTTTGTAGTACTGCTTTGGGGTTTTTCCATCACCCTCCTCACTAGACACTTTTATAGGCAGGGAAGTGCAGCCTTGAGCCTGATGGACTGCTTGTCATCCACAGAGTTCTGGAATAGCTCAGGTGTGTTGGTTAGCTCAGCCTTGTCCTCATTTCTCCTTTCTTTCCAACTCTTGGTGGTGGATGCAAGCCTAACTGATTTATTCCTTCTCCACACACACTTGCGTGTTTTACTGAGTCATGTTTTAATTGGTAGCTACAGACACTCTCCTTGGGCTTATCTGCTAAAGCTTGTCACAGGGTGCAGATGTGAAGTAACCTGCACTATCTAAATACAGACACCACTGGGCTGTGCAAGAGCTTGCCCAAGTGTGTAGTGATCCCCACAGCCAAATAAAATGCCACTAGGGCTTAATAAATTTTGCTTGTTTAGTGTGACTGTCACAGTTGACTTTGTTGTAATGTAGCAGCAATTGCAGCTTCTCCCTCCAAGTCAGGTTGTTTTCTTGGCAAAAAATTGTTTGGCTGGTCATTTTATTTCTAATCAAGTTTTATCACTAGTTTTGTTCAACTACTGTGTGGGAACCCTGCTATTCTTTCAAGCTAAATTGATAGTGGACTTTACTATTTTAAAATAATCTTTGTGAGGGAAAGACTGGTGTGACTGTTTAAATAAGAGCATAAAGTCAGGCTTATAAGTCCATGCTAAGACATCTGTTAATCACACTGTGCTGAAAGCAGACTTTGAAGTATATACATGCTGAGACACATGCTGATGGGGCTCAAAGCAGATTTCTACCTTCTTACAATGCTTTTTACCTCAGTGGCCAGGAGCTTCTGCCACTCAGGTTTCAAGTAGTAGAGGACCCCTCTCCAGGCACCAGGCAAAGTTGCACCTCTCACTAACAGGATGAGGAGGATGATGTAAGGGAATGTGGCAGTCACCCATACCACCTGTGGGGGGAAGCAGAAAGGCAGAATTTGCCATGGGCAGGAAGTTAACGGGTTGTGATAAAAATGAGTGAAATTAATTGTAACTCTTAGCATTTGTAACTGCTTCATGTGAACTTCCCAGAGTCTGCAAACAGGCAATGTGCACATCTGGACCCACACTTTCTCTTGGCAGGTTTGTTCTTGTCCAGAGAAGAGTGGCGTAACTGGCTGTTGTTACATATTACTTGGGTAACAGAAGCAGTGACTCTGCACTAAGTGCTTCCCAAACACACAAGCCTAGAATCCCTGTCATGAAAGCAGTCTGAGATAATAATTAAGTTAATTGGCTCCCTTAGGACTGCTGCTGGGCTATACTGTACCACATTGATTTGTCTTGCTTTTGTGTTCACCTTGCCAGATGTTTTGACCCCTTTCCAGATGCTGAAGTACACAATGGTGAAGATAAACAACAGACAGAGGGTCAGTTGCCAGCTAATGCCCCCCAGGTCATCCAGCCCATCAGACCTGTGCACCTGTAGAACTTGGCGGCTGAAAGAGGAAAGAAAAACACATCATAGAGTTTCTGATGAATACCTGTGCTAAGCAGGCTCTGAACAGTCCCATACTGGGCCCTGAGCACTACAAGTAACATGACTCTGAAGGTCACTTATCAAAGACTCAGGATTAAGTTGGATATTCTTTTTTTTTAAATTAAAGGCTTGTTATTAATGGCACACCAGTGATGACAAACGAGAAGTGATGACAGCAACAATGGTTGGGAACCTCTGATCTAAAACACAGAGCAGAGCACCCTCCCAAACCCCTGAAGCTACAAATATTTACTTATTTGAACAGTTCACAAAAGGGAACCATTAATAACAGCCCTGCTCCCCCTCCAAAGACAAGCTTGCTCCGTGTTCCACCATTCTCTCTCACATTGCTGTCCTCACTTACATGCACTTACGTATAAAATTCTTCTGCGGGAGAGATGGAGTGTGGGGACCAGGTGACATTGTCCTTGCTGAAGTAGTTTGTGCAGTTGCCCGTGTTCCAGGTGTTGGTGCAGCTGGTCCAGGGCAGCTCCGCCGTGAAGGAGGATACGAGGTAGTAAAAGGCCCAAGCCATAATGGTGTTGTAGTAGGAGGCTACGTAAAGATCTATTATACAGATGGCAAAGCCAATTCCTAGTAAGGTAGGAAATAGTTCCATGGAGTAAGTTTTAGGCCAAAAAAAAAGAACAAAGAAAGGAATTGGTTATCACATCAGTTGCAATTAGTAACTCTCTAAGGCAGCTCTGCAGGAGGGACACGTGCCCTCTCAAGTGCTTATGACACTGGAATTTCTTGTGCCTGTGGAAACACTCAGGCTCCAATTCCCTAAAAGCATTCTTAATCAAGACAGGACATGCTGATATAGATTTTTTTATCTGTTCCTAAGTTCCTAGTTTAGAAATAGGCATCTTGCTCTCTCAGTAAATAAAGACAAGACCAGAGCCATAACACTGGGAGGGAGCAAGAGTGAAGGAGCACACAGACCAGGTCCTGCTCTGACAGACTCTGTGGCAATTGGCAGAGCAGGCTGAAGATGGGCTATCATTTCTTTGTAGTATCTTTGTCATAGAAACAGTAGATCTTTATTCTTTCCTAGTTTTAGTTTTGCCTTGGGTACTGTAATGCTGCACTTACATTATTATATTTTTTGTTAGGGTTGTGGTTTTTTTAATATTTTCAGGCTTGGGGCAAAGAGAGTGGCCTGGCCTCTATCTAATCAATGTGAGGGTTGCACATCACACACGTGTAGGAGAGCACACACACACACCTGCAGGTGTGCACAAAGGTTTATGAAAGCTTTTCTTTGTAAAGCCAAAATCTTGTGTAGAACAAGCCTTACTTTGTATTGAGAGATTTTCATATTTTTCAGAAACTTCACCTTAATAAGAAAACCTTCCAGTCATTCAGAAAGTTCCTAGTGATTTTCCATTTCCTTTCTTTACCTTTGAATATAGGACATATTTTTCTCCAAATTGAAATACACCCATTCCTGTGATACTGTCCTAGTGCTAGTTCCATATAGAAGAGAGGAATCCCTCCAAAGATGGCCATAATAATGTAAGGGATGAGGAATGCTCCTGCAAGAAAGAAAGCAGATGATTGTAACTCTTTATAGGACTTGTCTTCCAACAGCACCAGCACTCCATAGACAACATTTCCTTTCATCCCACAGGGAAAATGCATATCCCCTCCCTTGCCAGGGTGCCCCACTGAATTACCATGGGATATCTCCTAAGAGTAACTACTCAGTGTGAATAAGCACCAATGCTCAGGCCAAACTTCTGTAACATAGGATCCATCAAGACTGTACTGGCTACAATGGACACAGCTGAGAGATGGGCTGCAGATAAAATAATTAATTTCTTCAGTAAAATACTTTTGTTACATCAAGGAGACCAAAGTCCTTTCCAAAGTCTCCTTTATTAGATTTATATTTTGGCTGATACACCAGTGAGTCTTAAGACCTAGAATTCCTGATCAGTTGGTGTTGGTTTTTCTGATTTTAAAATACTTCTCAAGAGAGGGATTGAGTTTTCCCTCTTGGAAAATGGTTCTTGCTCTCAGCTTCTGGTCGTACTGTGGTTTTTAGGACTTGCTAAGTAGTTTTTCTTCCATCTTAATGTGTCCAATTATCCTACCCCAGTATTTAGATTTCCCAGTCTACTTGAAAAGTAATTTCCCCTTGGTCATTTGTATTATATGTTAACATAAGCCACTATATTATTAAGCCAACTAGATGATAAAGTAAGTCACTTAACCATCCATGCCTAAGCAAGGAAGCTCAGCATTAAGGACACAGAACTAGTCACTGACCTCCTCCATTTTGGTAGCATATATAAGGAAATCTCCACACATTTCCCAGATCCACAGCATAGCCAATAACAGAGAGTAGAAAGTCAATTTTTTTACTCCAGGTCTCTCTGTCCTCCAGCTCCATCAGCTGCTGCTGGCCTTCTGCTCCACAGGTGGTAGATGTGGTGGTGGTGGTGGTGGTTGTGGCTGCTGGGGCAGTGCCCTGGGCATCTTCCACCTCTCCCATTCCATTACAGGGAACAGAGCTCTGAACCCCTGAATAACCATTTGAGATCTGAGCTCCCTCCCCTTTATCTCCTTGGCTGGGATGGACTTTATTGCCATCCTCCACTAGTCGTAAGGCAGATTTAGGGTTCCTGACAAGTCTGTTCTCCTTACAATCTTCTCCTTCACTACAGTCTGAGACCGCTTTCTTGGAAGTCAGTGGCTCAGTCTCATTGCTTGTTGCCTGTTTCTCCATTTTTTTCTGAGGTTTTTCCCAGGCACTTGCAGAGGGGCAGCAGCACCGAGTCCCCTTGTAGCTTGTCTTTCCACCCTTTTATTCCCAGTACTTTTAGAATTCCTCTTCCATATTTCAATCCATCAGATGGAAGGCACAAACACCATCTAAGAAATGAAAATAGTTAAAAATCGATTACAGGGCTTCCTTACACTGGTGACTTTCAAGTTACAACTGACAGATTCTGTGATTAAAAGACTTTTGGAAGTAATTAACCATCACAGCATGCAACGAGGCATTTAGTAGCTAATCCATTCAGCATTTTGTGCAGAGAAAGGAAGGAAAAAATCATCCTCTTCTACATCAGGAGTTGGTGTACCTGGCCTACAGCCCCTCAAGCAGATTTGCTGGACTTTGTGCATTGTTGGACAACTCACAGGCAGTCCCAGTCCTGCTGTCTTCTGGTACCACATTCTCCCTTTGAACACTCCTTTCATACCCAGGGAAGCTGTGGGACTCCCAGTTTGCAAGAGTGAGGGCAGAGTTTAGTGTGGCTTGTATTTTCATTTTCATAAATTCATGCTGTGACTCCTACTGGAAATTTCTAGATTCACCCAGTACAAAGGGAAAAGAATTATTTAAGCAAATATGAGATAACAAATTACATCTCATGATCACCTTTCTGCTGAAATCCCACCATGTCTGCTGGTTGGTAGAAGACCCAGAAGGTTTAAATCAAAGTTAAGAAAAGTATTTAAATCAGTGTTTTTGTATCAACTAACCTTTGAGGCTCAGTCAACACTAATAACAAGGAAAAAAAAGTTCAGGAAATGTAAATTTGATTGTTTTGACTAAGAACTAACATGTGGTTGTAAGGACAAAACTTGTCCCCAGTTTTATTTAACTTCTTGGGGAAATAAAGGCATCTTGCATTCTGTTTGGGTCTGTTAACCCTGGGGTTCCAGCCCTGGGAAGGGTAGTGGGCACTACTCCTGTTCTGCTGTCCACTGCCAGCAAAAAAACAGGCACTGGGAGAATTCCTGGCTTTACCTGCCCTCTTTATATATCCTAGAAGTGTAATCCAGGGGAAACAAATCATTAGAAATAAAGTATAAAACAGTTAATTTTCCCTTCAGAGCAAAAAGAACAGAAAAAGACTTGTGATCCAGAGGGTCATGTTGTGTTTGTTCATGTCATGCAAATGCCCAATGGTCTTTGCTCAACAAAATCTTGAAACAGGAGCTGATTCTCTGTGCTGTAAATTCCCTGGGGAGTAACCTTGCTTTATGAGTAGTGTGTTACAAAATCTACCCCATCCCACCACATATTAAATTATAATTATGTTTCATTTTATCTCATTTTTTCCTTTTCAAAGCATTTTACCACAGTAATTATCATTGTCACATCCTAGCAGAAGCAGCAACATTATTTTACATTTGAGTGTTGGAAAAACTAAAGAGTGGATATTCTTTGCTAGAATTTGCTCATTGCCAGAGCTATTAAACCTCAAGTTTTCCCCACCTTTTAGCCTTATGTAAAGATTGTTAAACCTCTTCCTAAAACATTTATCAGTGCAAGCAGAAAGAGAAGGAAAGTTAACGAGCTGCAAACAGGTTCTTGAGATAAGTCTCTTGAAGGTTGGTTGTAACTTTCACAAGGATCTAGTTCTTCAGGCTTACATTCTGCCTTCACCCAGGCAATGTTCTTTTCATCACACAGCAAACAGTGCATCATTAATGCTGAATTCTCACAAGAGCAGTACTTTGCTACCATTAGTTAATCATCCACAAAGATCGAAACATCTTCAGAGTTCCAGAAAAAAAAATCCTATGGAGAACAACAGGAGTTTCTGTTTTACCTGCAAGTCTATAAAAAATGAGTGTCTTTGGAGTCCGAAACCTTCCAAATGTCCCAAAAGATCTTGTGAAGATGAAAACAGTCCTACCACCACTGGTGGCAACATAAGAATCCTAGGAAGGGCCACAGCCAATCCTTTCCTTATACAGAGCATGTCAAATATGAGGTAGGAATATGGAAAAGTAACCTGAGCCCTTCTGGACTTTACACCTCTTACTCATACATGGGAAAGCAGTAAAGGATGTTGATTTAACTGCATTATCTCATGAGACTGGATTTTTCTATACCTGAAACTTAAACCCTTACTGTATTTGTAAAACACTTGATTTCTGCCCAGAGATACTGCCTGGCACTTCATTTCTGAGGAGAGGTCATTGAATGTGCTGTTGATTCCCTGCATCTCTGACAATTAAGATAGTGGTCTTGCCCAGAGCTAAGCTCTTCTGCTCCTCTGCAGACCATAGGAAAGAAATATCACATTATTTTAAAGATATCTTTGTAGAATTTTTGTAGTTCGAGCCTCAAAGATGCAAAACTGATGTGTGAATTTTGGGGGGCTTCAGCTGGAAGTTGAGCTATTCCTTCCTGCAAGGGAATTGCAGCCTGGGAAACCTCTGGGGCGCCAGACTCTGCAGCTGTGCCGTGGTGTTCCCTGTGGCATAGTTGGCACATGAAAACAGAACAGGTACAGAGTCAGATTGTTTCATTACGCTGTAATAAGCTGTGCCAGAATGTACTTTTCCCCTCCCTCTTGTTACAATTCAAGACAAAAACATCTGTGAAGGGATCGTGACCTCTACGAGCAGCGTGAGGAGCTGCAGAGCTGGGAGATCTCTGGGTGGGCACAGGCACTTGAATGGAGTTAGTGAAGGATGTAAGAAATGGCAGCTATTACCTCTTTTCAGTTGGAGCTGTTGCAAAGGTTGCTCTTACATAAATACACATTGGCTTCTTATCACTGACATAATGAGCTACAGGGAAAAAAAGGGGGGGCAGAGAGAAAAAGAAAGCTAGCGGTGCCTTCCTCTCGTTCTGTGTTTGACAGCCGTGACTTTGCTCCTTTGAGAGACCCTCGGTGTCTCTGCATTTTCCCTCTCTGGTAGCTCTGCAGAGATTCCTCTCCAGGGCAGTTTCCCCCTCTGTAAGGCCAGGCTGCCCAGGACATGCAGGGTGTCACACTGGAAATTCCCCCCCTCCTCACACAAAGAGTGATGCAGGAGTGACCCCTGGCTCTGCTCCCCAGCAGCAGCCTGCAGCGGGCAGTGTGTCCCCCACTGCTATTCCCTCTTTGCTTGCTTGTTGCAAACAGCAGGATGGATAATTGAAGACAAGTTTCCCCACAAGCTTGGCTGAAGCCACCAACACAATTCACATACACCAAATATTAAATAAGTGATAATTTTTGGCTACTCCCACACAGAGTTCAGTTTGAACCAGCCCTGTAGATGTAAAAGCCCTGCCTGTCCCTTGGTGCACAAAATCAAGTCCTTTGCCTCTATCAAAGCAGCCCTCAAGAAGCAGCCCTGTCCTGGGCTCGGGTTCTTGCCAAGCAGGGAGCTGCACCACTGATGTTACCGTGTCCGTGTGTGTTTCTTGAGGCATGCAGTGACCTCTCGTGGCAGTGTGGGAACCCCTTTCCTGTCACCCTCTGCTGTCCAGCAAAACAAATCTTCCCAGCACTTTAAAACAAAATTATTTTCCTGTTCTCTGTATGTTTTCAAGGAAAACATTGACTTGTCATGGGTCTAGAAGATTGAGACAATTAGGTTGAGGTACAGCAAATACCAGATGCTTCAAAGGAGGCAAATCTTATTGCCTCAGGTCACCTGGGGAAGGCTTTATTTGAGGTGGGGCAGCACTGCCTGAATTCCTCAGCACAAGGTGGGGTCAGCCTCACTGCCTGCCTGCAGAAGCCATTACTCCTCTCCAAATGATCAAATACATTGAATTCAATTGCAAAATGTGTATGTTTGCATATATTTCACTTCATACGAATTCTGCTCTTTTTGCCATGTGCTAATTTGCTGAAGCAAAGCTTGCTGGAGTAGCAGCCCCTGGGCTACAGCTGCATTCCTGTAGCAAAACTCAAATCCCTGCTGTTGCTCCCACTGCTCCCTTCTGCCTTCATTCTTTCCCCTCACATGCCAGTACTTGTAAAGAAATAAGATACTTTGAACTCAAGACAAAACATCAGCCCACACTCCTGGCAAACAGAAACAAACAGTAGGATGATTTTTGCTACCTGGACCTAAATCTCACTTTCATGACAAAGTATTTAAGATTGTTAAAATTAGGTAACTGCTGGACTGTCCTGCAGTGGAGATGCAGTTCACACAGGCAGTTACGTGTAAATGCAAAGTGTGCCAGGAAATAACATTTCTCTAGAAAATCAAGTAAGAAGTTTGTATGACAAGATAGAATTTAAGTATCCCACTCAGGAAAAGGTCATATTGTTTATCTGTAGGTACTTTTCTCAGCTCAGAGCCACAATATCAACCGTGACCCTCTGACAGCCACAACCTTGCATGTTTCCAGGTACTGGACTCTGATAAATAGAGCATTTTTGGTCCTCATCCAAACTTCCTCACACAGTCCTAGTGTGTCTTTTTGCACAGGAGAGGAGCACCTGAGCTTGATGACAGTTGAGAACCTTGTAAAGATTATTCCTTTTAATGGGCTTTTATGGGCTTGTGTGTTCCTGCTCTGCTCCATGTCTGCTCTGAAGGAGTGTAGACTTGCTCCCATTCTTACTAAAACAGAGTAGAACTGTACTCAACAAGTAGTCTCACTGAGACAATGGCCCTTCTGGGAGAATAAAAGGCTACTTACCAAAGTAAGAATGGACAAGTAGTGAGCTCTCTCCAGTTAACTCCTGTATTCCCAGATAAGGCTAAATAGAGGCAAGATACAGAAACTGTGCTCCTGAAAGCAACAATATCTGGGGAATATAAACCTGTACTGAGTTTTCTATCATAATCTTGCCCATGTTTCAGTCTGAAATTAAAAAAAGAGATTTTTACCTTTAAAAATGTGTTGAGAAGACAAACACTGCGTTGTAGTGTGAACTCTGCCAAACTGACTGACAGTCCTTTAAAGACCCGGGGTGGGGGGGGAAGAACAGGGGAGAAAATACATCTTCTGGCTCAAGAGCATCCATATGTAGTGCAAGGAAACAGA